ATTTTTATAAAAAACAACAAATCCTAAAAGTGATATTTGTATTTTTTCATAAAAATTTTTTCCTGTTTCAATTGGACCACCACCGATTTTAAAATTCTCTTTAAAATCCATAACAACAACACATGATATAGATGTTGTTAATTCAAGAGAATTTTTATATAACTCTTGTTGTTGAGTTTTAAAATAATAATAATAATAATAACACCATTTTTATTAAGAAATCTAAATCAAGAAGACTTAATAAAAAAGATAAAAAGAATATTATAAAAATTATTAAAAAATAAATTTATTATAAAATCAAGTAATTTAAATTTTAAACTACAAACAAAACTTTAAATAATCTATATTAATAATTTATAAATTATAATTTTACTAATTAAAAAACAATCCAAATTAGCAAAAAAATAAAATAAATTACATTTAAAAAAATATAATAAATAAGTTATTATATAAAAGTTATATTATTTTGTAATATCAGGTATATATACAATAAAGAAATATTATATTAACTTGACTATAGATTAAAATTTTTTTTTCAATAATTTAGAGTACTTAGTACTTTGTTTTGTTTAATCTAAACTAATTAATTGATTTTTTTATATTCTTAAGAGGAGTTAAGAGATTATGATTACGTTATATCAAGTCGCGGTGCAAATTCTTAAAAGTATACAGTATATTTTTAATAAATTTTAAAACATTCGGTGAAAAATGTTCTTGATCATATGATTATGTGATCTGGAGCATGATTTTTCTGGAGAAAAGGAAATATGAATAACGTGATATAATAACATTCTTTAAATTGACTATGGCATCATATTGATCAAGATTGTCTCATATGTTAGATTGCGCAATTTTCTTTAATAAGAGATGATGTCCATCTAATCAATTTTATCAATTTTATCAATTTTTTTTGCGATGCTTATAAAAATCTGATTTTTTTTTGCAAATCATGTTGTTTCCCTACATTTTGAAAAGACAATGTCTGGCGAAACTTTTCTGTTCACTTCAGAGTCAGTAGGTGAAGGCCATCCCGGTATGCAAAGTGTTCTTTATTATATAATCCACAAGTAGACGTACGTTCGCGTATTTCAAATGTCTCCTTCAAATGGTGATAAATTATTTTATTTTATTTTTTTTTTTTTCGCGCAAATTTTTACGCAGACAAAATCGCGGATCAAGTATCCGATGCTATCTTAGATGCGTGCCTCAATGTGGATCCTTTCTCCAAAGTTGCATGCGAAACCGCCACAACAACTGGTTTAGTACTAGTATTTGGAGAAATTTCCACATCCGCTACATTAGATTATCAAAAGATCGTTCGCGATACTATACGTCGTATAGGCTATGATAATTCAGACAAAGGATTTGACTATAAAACATGTAATGTTCTCGTCGCCATTGATAGACAGTCACCAGACATTGCTCAATGTCTTGATCACAACGATCTCGAAAACATTGGTGCTGGCGACCAAGGTACTTTTTTATTTTCATCTGCAAATTTGCGGCTAAATTTCAATTCAACACGATAACAAATATTAATCTTTAATCTTAGGAATCATGTTTGGATACGCTACTGATGAAACCCCGGAATTAATGCCAATATCTCTTGTTTTCGCTCACAAGTTAAATAAGAGGATGGCAGATCTTCGTAGGAGTACAGATTTTGCTTGGTATGTTTTTTTTGACTGGTTTTTGCATCGACCAATTTACGCGTGCAAATTTATGCATCATTAATTTACTTTTAATTTTTATTTTTTGTTGTAGGATTCGTCCGGATTCCAAATCACAAGTAACTGTACGTTATAGAAACGAAAACGGAGCGTTGATCCCTCTAGAGGTCCAGTCTATTGTTATCTCCGTTCAGCATTCACCAGAAATTGAAATTCAAGATCTAAGACGTCATATAAAAGAGCACGTAATTGATTTTGTCATACCTTCTAAATATTTAACGGAAAGTACAGTTTACCACATACAGCCCTCAGGATTATTCGTTATCGGGGGGCCTCATGGTGACGCAGGGTTGACAGGACGTAAAATAATAATTGACACTGTATGATAAATTTTTTCCAATTATTACACGTGATTAGTAGTTCGCGTCTTTGTTGTTTAAGTTTTTATGATTCCTTATACAGTACGGTGGTCACGGTGCTCATGGTGGTGGTGCCTTTTCCGGTAAAGATTGGTCTAAGGTTGATCGTTCTGCGGCATATGCAGGTGAATATTATTTCTTCATCTTGGATATATGAAGTCATTGAACCAAAATGGAAACGAAATGACGTTTAACTTCATTTAAAATCAGCTCGATGGATTGCTAAATCTCTCGTTCACGCTAAACTCGCAAGACGCATTCTGGTTCAGCTTTCCTACGCTATCGGAGTTCCTCAACCCCTTTCGATTTTCGTCGATACTTATGGAACATCATCCAAAACAAATGCTGAATTGTTAGATATTATCAACAATAACTTTGATTTACGACCTGGTGTTATCGTGAAGCAACTCGGTCTGCATGAACCCAAAGGTTGGAGTTATGAACAAACTGCATCATACGGGCATTTTGGACGTGAAGAGGTAACCATGATCACTATATTTCGTCTGTAATAACATTTTATTAAACTATCTTTATTCTATTTATAATTTTTAGTTCCCTTGGGAACAAGTCAAGTCCCTTAAATTATGATCCTACTATATTTGATATAACATACATAATATTAAAAATTAAATTCAATATTGGTAGAAGTATACTATATTATACAAATCTTCATAAAGGAATTTTTGGGTCATTCATTAAGAGATCCTTTTATACGCTTAGAAATTTTAAGTAAAACGAAGGATAACATTATTTGGTTACGCCGCATAACTGGTTACTTTGTTTTTTTTTTTTTTTTTTTTGTGTTTTAACATGTTCTTCGGAAATTAAATTCGTTCGCCATGTGTTAATCCAAACTTGATAATATACATATTTCGTTTGCATTTAGAAATGGTGCGAACTAAGATAATAATTGGTCGCAAAGTATTATGCTCAAGTTATAAAATATTAACTCATCATTATCAAATTAGCTCTTTTTTTTTAACTTGCTATCAAGTTGATATGGTTAATTTTTATTGAGTATTGTTAGAGATAATTACAATTTAAATGATTTTCACATATTAGCTCACCTATTAGAAGTTTACCTTCTTTAGATGCAACTTAAGAAATGATATTTTGTTTCCTTCATGATTTGAATTATTCTTTAATTATCACTATAAATCTTTCAAAGCTCTGTTAAATGAATTAAAATCCTAGCTATATTTTTTTTGCATTATCTATCCTTTATAACTTTTTCTAAGTATATTTATATATTTTTATACTTCTTATTTTTCTTTTATATTCCTTTCCCTTTTGTAGTTTTTTATTAAACAGTGGCTTAATAGAATATATTATAGTAATAAATTGTTGATAATAATGGTAGAAACTAGAAAAGTCTTTATCCAAAGTTATTAATAAAGCAAAATATTATCTTCTAGGTTGAACTTGAAAACTTTTTATTTGTCTTTTTAAAATTAATAAACTACTATTTAATCTGACTACAAATATTATAAAAAAAAAATAAAATTTAATATTATACAATAATATTTATTTATTTATTTTTTTTTAATACCCTTGGTCAGGCCAGTACTGTGTATTTATTAATCATTAAGAAAACCGATTGAGATACATAGGGCAATTGCATCATGGCTAAACTAAAATCTTGTACT